TTCTGTACACCAGGAAGAAAAAAAAAGAAGAAAAATTTCTATTTTTTACTTGTTTTTTCAAACTCTCTGCCCCATGATTTCTGTTCTTGGTTACCCTGTGGAGAAAACGTGGCAGTATTTGAAAAGAGGAAGAAGAGAAGAAATTGGAATGGAAAGCTGCAAATATCATATTCCTCATGTACTTCTCTGATAGGTATTTTCTGTTTCTTGGGCACCTAGTAAATGAAGTGCTATTCAGAATACACAATGACATAGAATCTTCCACATAAATTATTCTATCCTTGGCTGATATGTTTTTCATTAGTGATTAATTTATGAAACCTAAGTCATTCTATTTTCCCTCTACACATGTTGTTAAAGATTTTGACTTTAAGTCACATCTGCCTACCCACTGGGGAAATCAAGTCTATACCTAATTACTGATTAATACAATAACCAAGTACAGGTTGAGTATCCCTTATCCAAAATTCTTGGGACCAGAATTGTTTTGAATTTGGGAATTCTTCAGGTATTGGAATATTTGTATTAAACCAGGTAAGCACCTCAAACCCAAAAATCCAAAATCCAAAACGCTCCAATGACTATTTCCCTTGAGTATCATGTCAATGTTCAAAAAATTTTATATTTTGGAGCATTTCAAACTTCAGATTTTCTGATTTGGAATACATAACCTGAATACTTTAGGCAATAGTATGTTTCCAATGCTAAATTCTACAGTACAGTCGTTATTTTTATCAGTAAGTTTCTATCACCTAAAGTATACTTGGGAATCTCTTTTCATCTCTGAACATTATATAAAAACTAAGGAGCCACACCCTGGGTCAGACCTATGATGTTAAGTTTATGCTTAAGTTCTAAGTTCGAAAATTATGTTCCCTCCTTCAATTTAAATATTATTCTGAAAAATCTATGGGTCACTAATGTCATCTGTAGTTTTATTAGAGGATCTAAATGGGCCAAACTCATAATCTTCATGTGATGAACTGGTGAGGGAGTGAAGGGAGGTGCCTGGGGCTATCCTGGAGGCACGGTACACATGCAAGTGCTGTATGAACCACAGGAACTGTGGCTACTCCTTGCAGACGATAAGGAGGCAGCCTGAACTAATATAGAGCACTTCCTAATGAGAGTGGCCCAGCCTCAGAGGTGGCTTCTGTGTGAAGCAGAACCCTCTCTAGGACTCAGAGTGTTCTGCAGGTGCTAAACGGCAACCTAGGAAGCCTTAGGGGCCTCTCAAGTCAGCTCTGACTCTATGATTTGCTTTCCTAATAGAAAGAAAAGATATTCAAATCATGTGTGTATGTCTTCCTTCTTTCTATATGGCAGCTTTAAGAAGGAAATAGAGAAGAAAGAACACCAGCCCAGGACCCAGGGCAAGTCAACCTGATCTCAGTTTGCTCAGCTAAAAAACGGATGGTAAAATGGATGGTAAGATACCTTCAAGTTCTAAGGACTTATGAACAGAATTCATTTCCCTATGCCTGTCTCATTTGCCAGAATCTTGTGGAAAAGGTAAAAAGACATAGAAGGGCACCTGACTTAGAAAGCCTCTGCCCAATGGGGTTGGGCTAATGGCCTGGAGCCTGAGTCCAGGGTGGATGGGGACTCCAAATGGAACAGCTGAACCTCCAGATGGTCCTGCCATCTCATGCCCAGGGGGATGCAAGGGGCTCCCGTTTCCACACTCATCATCACCTGCCCCTCAGGACCCAGGAAAACAGCAAGGAAGAGTCCCAGTAGAGCCAGACTAGCCTAGGAAACACTCATAAATTCACAATGAGTCACTTAAAAGTATCCCAGTGTAGCATGCCACAGTCAGTGTGGATACTGTTTAGACTGTTAATATGCACAAGCACCTAAAATATGAATTATACATTTGCAAATACTGTTGCACACCACATAATGACGCTTCAGCCAACAACAGAACACATGTATGACAGTGATCCTGTAAGATTATAAATAGGCTGAAAAGTTCCTATTGCCTAGTGATGTCTTGGCCATCATAATGTCGTAGCACAATACATTACTCACATTTGTGGTGTTGCTGGTGTAAATAAACCCACGTACTGCCATCATACAAAGGTGTACAGTAATGTCCTAGACCTTCATATTCACTCACCACTCATTCTCTGACTCACCCAGAGCACCTTCCACTCCTGTAAGCTTCATTCACAATTAAGTGCTCTATACAGGAACAGCATTTATAGTTTTAAACCACAGTTTTACTTTACCTTTTCTATGTTTAGATATTGTTACATACTATACTATTGTGTTATAATTGCCTACAGTACTATTGTGTTATAATTGCCTATTAGTACAGTAAATGCTCTACAGGTTTGTAGCCTAGCAGCCAAGGCTATACCATATCACCTAGGTGTGTAGCAGACTATCTCATCCAGGTTTGTGCAAGTTACTCTATGATTTATGCACATCGACGACATTGCCGAACACCACATTTCTCAGAACATATCCTCATCATTAAGCACTGTGTGACTATATATCCTTACCATGCTCGTGTTTCAGATTTTGAAACATCTACTGTGCCATGACATAATCCCTAATTACAGAATTCCTTAAATGAAGCCTATGTGAAAATAGTATCTGCAAAAAGACCAGTTCTCCAAGAAGAAAAAAGGAACCAATTCGGATACCACATTGGCTGTTTCCATGAGCTGAACCTTCAAAGCTTTGCTCCTAGGATATGATCTAAGGACTTTTAGCTCTCTCAAGAGCTTCATGTTTTATTTATTCCCTGTAATCAAAGCATCATCTCCTCACTAAAGAACGAAACAAAATGTTTCTTGACATTACATCTAATAAGAAGTATAGGTATAATGATTAGTAGTACTTAGACATCAAATCAAATGCATGGGAGGTTTTTCTGTGATTTACCGGTGAAGTAAAAATTGTATACATAGTAGGTAGCAGATAATTAAAATCAATTCTAACATACGTTTTTAAAAATAGAAAACAATTCTGGATAGACATTCATTAAAAAAATGTCACTTTTAATATGAAGTCTTCAAACTGGGAGTTATTTTCTCTGGCACATACAGCTCTTATCCCCTGGGTTCTTAGGGACCCTTCTCTAGCATCCTTTGAAGCAGAGGTGAGGAGAAATGCCCTAAGCACACCTGCAATTATTCTGTCCACACTGTCTGGTCTCTGTCAGCAAAAGCTGCTGTCATGGGGCCATGGCTCATCTCGCCTTGAGGTTAATTTTTTTAAGACACCAAAATCTTAACTCCTTTTTTGGAAAGATATATACTATATGAGAAGTCTTTCCTTCATATTTTCTCTAAAAGAGAAACATGTCTTCGGGAATTTTATTAATAAAAATGATGATAAATAGCTTCATTTATATTTTAAAATCACCAGACTGCTAATATGCACATGCATATATAAAAACATAAATTATACATTTGCGAACAGTTCTTTATTACACTCATGTTTCAGATTTCAAGACTACTCCTGTGTAATGGTGTAATCCCTAATTACAGTATTCCTTAAAGGTATCCTGTGTGAAAGCAGCCCTGAGCTATAGCACCTTCAGGAAACCAGCAGGGCAAAAGAAAACACCCTTAAGAACTGCTTAGAGACACATCAGGACAAAGGTAAATGTAATGTATTACTTAACTAGGTAGACCAAAATTTAGAACTATGTAAATGTTTCACACATCATCTCTGTAAACACAAAAAAGAACAGAGAATGAAAAAGCTTGGAGAAGAAATTCAAAATAATGAATCAATCAATTGATCTTTCTCGTTCTCTCTCTCTCCCTCCCTCTCCCTCCCTCCTTTCTTCCCTCCCTCCCTCCCATCTTCCCTCCCTTTTTCCTTTCCTCCCTCCCTCTCTGTCTTTCTCTCTCTTTCTTATTATTCCAACTAGATTCAACTTCTATAACCCCTTCAGAACAGCTCTCTACATGGAAACCTTTAAGACTTTCCTGGGCCTCTGGCAAGGTCTTGGAAACCAACATCTGAGATGTCTTGGTTTCCCATCCAATAACATTGGCTTTGAAGTGGAGATTGAGATGGGCTCTGGTCATCAAAGGCACAGCTGAATGGGCAGCCTGCAGATCTTCCTCAGGGACAGTGGCTGTTATAATGTGTTCTGCAGGTTATTAATTCATACTTTAAAATACAGTCTACACCACCGGTCTCAGGAAATGGGCCTGGAACAGCATCATCTCAGCTAATGGGGAGGGACTAAGAAGCTTGGCAGTGCTTTGCTGCTTTTATTTTTTATTTATTTTATTTATTTATTTATTTATTTTTTTGAGACAGAGTTTTGCTCTTGTTACCCAGGCTGGAGTGCAATGGTGCAATCTCGGCTCACCACAACCTCCGCCTCCTGGGTTCAAGCAATTCTCCTGCCTCAGCTTCCCTAGTAGCTGGGACTACAGGTGTGCGCCACCATGCCCAGCTAATTTTTGTATTTTTAGTAGAGACGGGGTTTTACCATGTTGACCAGGATGGTCTCGATCTCTTGACCTCGTGATCCACCCGTCTCGGCCTCCCAAAGTGGCTTTGCTACTTTTAATATCATTTAGTTAACTTTCAGATATCCGGTCAAGTGCTCTGGCAGTGTGAAGGCATTATTGGTAATCACAGGTGACTAAATGATTCTTTCAGCTAATATTAAATATCTAGTATGTTTCATGACAGCACAATGTACAACGCAGTAACAACTTTCTTGCATCTTTCTTTGACTTCCTACCTAGAATCTGCAAAGCAAAGGGATGCTGGAATCTGTCCGTAGATAAGTCATTTTCTACATCCTAAGAGGAGCTTTACAATCTTTTTTCCTGGCATACTAACTCCCCATAACTGACGGTGTCAAATAGGCTGTTTTTCTTCAGTTGTTAAATAAAACAATGGGACGCTAAAGGAGGTGATCCGAATTCTTAACTAATCATGCAAAGAAAATGGCATGCAATTACACAGGCGCGCTAGTTTTAATTCAGTGCAGGTGCTCCACCCTGCCCCACCCCACTTACGGGTGGCCGGCCGGCTCTGCTCTGGCTGTGCACTGTCCGTGGACTGGGTGCTGGAGACTGAGGAGACGCTGGAGCTCCGGACAAAGCCAAACGCCGCCAGCTTGGCTGCTGGGAGACGCGAGTATCCGGGAGGACGGAGACCAGATTTCGGGAGATTGGATTTTGCAGCATTTGAACTGGAAGCTTTCTTTAAATCTGCTAAAACAAACCCAAATTAAAAAAAAAATTATTCTCAGTTCACAATGAGATAAAGAATGCCACAGATTGTGAATTCTAACCCAGTTCTATCATAAACAGACTAAAATTAATCTTGCAGGGTTTGATTCAACATATTTAAAACAGACTTTGGAAGAGATAGACCCCTTATATTGTAAGTCAGGTGCCTCAGAGAACTCAAAGAGAATGAGGTGCAGCCCCAGCCTGGACAAGTTTACTGTCTATTTAGGCTGATGAGAGGAGGAAGACAAATAACTTTATTTTAAGGCCATAAGAAAAGGTATCAACTGCTTAGGACAATGAATGAAAGTGAATACTTACTGTTGCAAGTTACCCTAGATTTGTTAAAATTGAGATACACCTTAAATTTTGACATACAATGGGCAAAGAATCATTGTGGCAAATATTTACCAGTAACTTTAAGCAGTTTGTAATAAGTCTTATAAGGAACATGTACAAAAAGTTACCTAACTTTCTGTTGGCTGCAGGACTGAGGAGGAGACAGCGTGGACTACAGAACCAGCCGGGCTGGAATATAAGGTCTCCCAATGATGAGCTGTGTAACTTCAAGCCCTTGTCCTAACAATTACAGCCACGGTTTCCTTTCATGTAAAGACTGGGAATAACACTGACTTTGCAAATCTAATATAAATATTACTGCTTGTACCACAAGAACTTGATATGTGCTCAAACTGATGTTAGATTTCTTTTCTCCTTTCTCCACTATCTGTTATGTTAGTCCAAATTTCAAAATTAGTTCCCAGATATGTGCAAAGTCAGCTGGTTTTGAAATAATAAACCATCAAGTTATAAATCTAGCATCTCAGCATTGCCATGCTCTAAGTCTGAGCCAGGCTCCAGCAATAGCAACTGTGATGATTATCACAACACTATGAGAAGGCTCCCAGAACCAGGGAGAATCAGAATATTGTCACCATACAAATGCTCTTTGATAGGAAATATAAAAGGCCCAAGCTTCCCAACATGCTGTTTAACTGTCCTTATTGATTCCTTTAACAACTTTCACCTGCAGGCATATTTACCATGAGTGCTTATATAGTGACCATTCGGTGGCGTTCTTATGCTAGTCAACTCTTTATTATCCAGTAAAATATTAATCATGTTTCAGATTAAACCAGGTTTTGGATTAAATGACCCATTTGTTAAAAAAAATCCATGAAGAAACCACATATTAGAAAGCATCTACATGTGAAAATACAGAGAGCAGCAATAGATGATATGCTGGGTCTAAACAGCACATAAAAAAATTACCTCTTCCTCTGCCAGCTGCTTCCCTAAAAGTGAGGCTATGGAGAGCTGTGAGTCCAGATGAAGGCAGAAGCTGCACAGCTGTGGGTTTCTGATGCCTTAGTCAGGATTAGGATGGGGAGGAATCCAGTGATTGCAAAAGGAGAAAGAAGCAAGGAGCTGGGGCTACAAATATTCCCAACTCAAGCCTGTTCTAGTGCTTGGGAAAATACACACATACCAAAAAAACCAAAAACAAAACCTCAACTACGAAAAAGTAGAACTAATACTGTCTAACAACTGGGAATGGCCCATTTGCATCAGCAATTTATGCCACGTTTAATGACTTCACATTGTTGTTCTCACATTATTTTGAATACTTTTAGTTGATGTCCCCAGAGCAGTGGAAATATCCCTATATATACGATATCATTTTCACAGTGAGTTTACACCAAATTGATTTTGAGTGATGTCTGCAGAGCAGGAAGAGAGTTGCTAAACATCAGATTTAATTTCAACAATATACTCAAATTCCATTACATTTTGATACTATTTTAAGTTATCTATAACCTCCTTTCTAACCCAGTTAATCAATAATTAACTTTACGCAAAAGCAAGTGAGGAGAATATGAACAAAATAATTTTCCTGAAAAACAAACTGTATTTTGGAAATAAAAAAAAGTTGAAGTCAGAATTTCTAACAGGGTACCTAGGCATTCAGTAAGCATTTAATATTCAGTGAAGCATGAAAACCTAGTTTGTTAAATCATTACGTAAGACAAGCCACTGAACATGTTCAAAAAGAAATTTATCTTATCTACACTTACTTATATTCCATTATTGTTGATTTCCTCAGTAGAAAAGTAGCAGTGGAACGTGCAGAGAGGATGAGGACAAGCAGCACAGGATCCCAGATATACAGGAAGCCAGTCTCTAAATTGTTTTCTAGGTTTCACTTTCCCATAGTCTAGATCTTTATTTTAATAAAGACATATATGGGCTGTGTTTGTGTGTGCATGTGCTTATGTGTGTGTGTGTTTAGATGACTTGCAGAAGTATACTTGCCCTCAACTCTCTGTGCATACAATTTTTACAAATTTAGTGGTACCTATATCATACATTAAGTTAATACATAATGGTCTTTCCTTCTAGCAGATCAATCTCATGAGTAGTATACACGCTTTCAGAGTTTGCAGAAGCAAGTCTTGTTCTTTTTATATCACCAGCTCCTAGCACAATGGTTTCCACAATGTATTATTCAATAAATATTTAATTGAAGTTTACATTAGCCAGGCTTTTATCACACTAATTTAGCCCACAGTATAAGTCAAATATCTCTACTAGTCTCTGCATGAGATCTAGTCTGGAGTAGAGCTCAAAAGTCTAATTTTTAAAAAATCACCTCAGTGATTCTGATTCAGGTGGTCCCTGGATCTTTGAAAACTTCAACAGAATATGCCAACTCACCCTATGAAATAACTGCATTCAGCTGTTCTGGCTGAATATATCTTAATTTAATCTTAGTTTCTCCTAAGAGGGACATATTTACAAAATTATATAGTCCCTACTATTTCTCAAACAAGTCCAGTGTTATGAACTGAAGGCCTATCCCTGCCATCCCCCCAAATCACAGGTTTAAATTGTAACTTCCAATGTGGTTGTATTTAGAGGTGGGGCCTTTAGAGATAACTAGGTTACAAGAATGAAGCCCTTGTGAATGGGATTAGAGCCCAAGTGCCCATATGAAAAGAAGCTGTAGAGCTAGCTCCCTCTGTTTCCACATGTGAAGATACAATGAGAAGATGATGGTATGCAACCCTGATCTCAGACTTCCAGCCACAAGGACTGTGGGGTCCCTCCCACAACACATGGAAATTATGGGAGCTACAATTCAAGATGAGATTTAGGTGGGGACACAGCCAAACCATATCAGACTTAATGGGGAAAGGTTGAATGCTTTCCCTTGAGCAGGCGTCCCCAAACTTTTTACACAGGGGGCCAGTTCACTGTCCCTCAGACCGTTGGAGGGCCGCCACATACTGTGCCCCTCTCACTAACCACCAATGAAAGAGGTGCCCCTTCCTGAAGTGCGGCGGGGACTGGATAAATGGCCTCAGGGGGCCGCATGCGGCCCATGGGCCGTAGTTTGGGGACGCCTGCCCTTGAGATTGGTAACAAGGCAACGATGTCTAATCTTCCCACTCATATTCAATGTAGTGCTGGAAGTTCTAGTCATGCAATAAGGCAAGAAAAGGATATAGATCAGGAAGCAAAAAGGAAAGCTGTCTCTATTTGCAGATGACTTAATTGTCTACAGAGAAAAATCCGAAGAAATCGCCTGTATAGAATTGGTCCTAAATCTTTAAATGTCTAGTAAAATTCTCCAGTGAAAATAAAAACAAAAACAAAACAAAACAAAATTACCCTTGGGAAGGAGCTTGAATTTAACGGGATCAGACTGTGGAATAATGTATGCCCCAGGACACTGTAGAAAATTATAGAGCAATCAGTCAGTAATTAGTAGAACCTGACAGCTGAATGTGATACCAAAGGGAGGAAGATTAACACAGATCAGAGAAAGACAGCCCTCAAAAAACATTGCCAATGTACACGCCCAAGGCTGTGCCTTCTGTGGAGTGATATCAGTGAATTCACAATGCAAGGAAAACAGGCTTCACTAAAGTAGATCAACCACGTTGCTAAACAAATAAATAAGCAAATAACAAGCCCCAGAGAGGAAGAGAGGTAATTAGTAGCCAAGGATGCTACAATAATTACCCAAAAGTTGCATGTCAACAGAAATAAAATGAGACACACACACACACAAAAAAAAATACAGAAAGGGGTGATTTATATATTAGAAAAAAGCAGGAAACAGAAACTGCCTATAAAAGGACCCAGCATTCAAAAACTTCAAAAGAGCTATTATAACAAAATAACTAAGGAAACTATTCTTAAAGAAGAGGCTGTAATGACAATGTTTCATCAAATAGAAAATAATAAAGAGAGAGAAATTACAAAAACCAAATGGAAACTTTGGTGTTAAAAAGCAAAATAGGCTGGGTGCAGTGGCTCACACCTATAATCCCAGCACTTTGGGAAGCCAAGGCTGGCAGATCACAAGATCAAGAGATCAAGACCAACCTGGCCAACATGGTGAAATCCCGTCTCTACCAAAAATATGAAAATTAGCTGGGTGTGGTGTTGCATGTGCCTGTGGTCCCAGCTACTTGGGAGGCTAAGGCAGGAGAATCACTTGAACCCAGGAGGCAGAAATTGCATGGAGCCAAGATTATGCCACTGCACTCCAGCCTGGCAGCAACACAGCAAAACTCCATCTAAAAAAAAAAAAAAAAAGGCAAAATAACTAAAGGATCTATACAATAGATTTGAAGTGGCAGAAAAATACCAGTGAACTTGAAGATCAATACATATTATAAAATCCAAGGAACACAGTGGAAAGAAATGAAGAAAAATAAGCAGAGACACATTCAGGTACACCTATCAAATGTAGATTAGGTCTTTTCACATAGTCCCACATTTCTTGGATACTTTGTTCATTCCTTTTTACCCCTTTTTCTCTAATCTTGCCTTCTCATTTTATTTCATTGAGTTGGTCTTCGACCTCTGATATCTTTTCTTCTGCTTGGTCAATTCGGCTGTTGAAACTTGCGCATGCTTCGCGAAGTTCTCGTGTTGTGTTTTTCAGTTCCATCAATTCACTTACATTCCTC